AGAGAAAGATGGATAGATCGGATCGGCAGTGTCGTCGATCTAATTTTATCCATGTCACGGTGGACCGAACCCGAAGAGGGAGGACTCTTTCTCTCTCTTTTCTATACCGTGAAAAGAGAAAACCGAGCTTTTGCGCGATCTGCCCACAACGGGATGGAAAAAGCTGTTCATCGAAGCTTGCGACGACGGAAAACAGAAGCGATCGACGTCATCCGAGGCTCGTTAGGCCTCTGAAGGCTTTGATCGCTCGGCCGAACGCCATCTCTCACCGAAGAGAGACAAAGAGACGTTTCGCGCGTACGTAACGTTATCGTCGGTGTATTTGCACGAGCGTATCAAACGTGAAATTTCAAATTTGTAATAAAAACCATGTAAAAAAAGATCTCCCCGTATAAACGTCACCTTGTTTCGAAGAATTGCGAAAGAATCACGAAATGCGTCAAAAAAAAAAAATGTTCACGCTTGATATCTCGAACACTTTTCGTCTACGACGAAAATCGTACCTTATCATTTTTTCTTATCGACTCTGACGAATTCACGGGTCGACGCTTCGCAGATCTGGAGATAAAGCAAAACATGAGTGATGACTAATGACTGAAAGTAAACGTCGCGACCCGTCACGATAAATTGCTTGTTTCACGTGCGGCTGTTTTTGCCGTCGTAATCGAGAACGGTGGAAACGGTGGATCATTTTCCGAGCTTTTTGCGCGAAGGTCTGGATGATTAGAACCAGAGATAGGAGGAGTTTCGAGGACAGATGCGCAAAGACGTTCTCCGTGTAGTCGATCAAAAAACTCTTGCGAGTTACGAGCAAAAACGAAGAGCATGTCGTTTCGCGTAGAGGATCGCGAAACTCAGAGGTGGGTAATCAGAGACTGCGTTCGCGACAACGCGAAAACGTCACTTGACTTCAAGGTAATATTTACTTACATTACTCAGATTGAATCAATTGTTTCAAGGGAAGCCATAAATCATTAAAGGTAAACTTTATAAAAAGGAAAACTTGTAGCTTATTCGTTGCCTTATATTGAACGCAATGGAAGAGAATTTTTAAGCTGCATAAAAATCCTATCTTCTAGACGTAATTTAAAATCCTTTTTTCCTGAATATGGAGTTATTCTAATATATATTTTTTCATTTTTTAACTTTGAAAAAAAAATCTTCTCGCTTCAAGTTCACCGACTTAATTAATGTGACGTGAGAAAATTTGCAAGAAATTGCGAATATGAGCATCGATCTGTCTTTGCGCAAGGTAGATCGATCATCAAAACAACAGTGTCATGTTTCTTTACTCTTAATCGTTGTCGACCGATTTGAAATATCAGTTGACTTAAAGATACTATCCATCTACACTGATGGATAGTATCTTTAAGTCTGATTGATTCAATTGTACTTTAGAAAAAATATAAATCTTAAAACGTATTTTATTAATGTAAATCTTATAAGAAAGAAAAGTTGCAGTTATTACTGTTGCAGTGGTTACTGTACTTATTACTTGATACTTTCCTCTTTGTATAAATCATTACAACGCATTGCAACGCAGAGAAGAATAAGAACTTTGAGAAAGCTGCATAGAAGTTCTGTCTTTTAACCGCGGGATAAGATCTCTTTGCGAATAAAATTATTCTAACATATATATTAGTCATTTTCATAAAAGAGCACATTATTTCAGTTTCGTGAAAATGTACTCTGGTATTTTTCGTCGAGCTTACCTGATGAGACAGCGTGAGAAAATTTCGCAAAGACTTGCAAATACGAATACGTCGGTCCGGCATTTCGCGCAGGGTAGGTCGACCATCAAAACGAGCCGGCGACACGCTTCTTTAGCCTTTTAATCGTCGTCGACGCATTTCCCGAGTACGCGAATCGCATGACCAGCATGTAATTAGCCCGCCTGTAATTTCGCCTCGCGTAACGCGCGCATAAAGACCACATAAAGGGCCAGATGGTAGTCTAAAAAAAAGAAGCAAAAAAAAATAACGAAAAGAGCGACGGAGGAAAAAGGAGCACGCTGTAATTTTACTCGAGCGATGTACGTACAATATTAGACAGACGTGATTTTTTTTTAGCATCATAAACGCATACTGCGGTAATGCGCACGTCGTTCGCCGCGCTCGAGCGACGGTAAACACGGCGATTTAACATTTATATGCTGTATTAAAATCATGAAAAGTAGCGTACGAGTCCATTTTTCATACGCTCACGCGAGTTACATCAGTTATCTCTTTTTCTTTTCAAACGGATGTTATTTACATAATATCAGAATTTTGTTATTTTTCTCCGTAGTGGATCGAAATTGTTTGATGTTTCGGGGCTTCAATTGCGGAATAAAGAAGTGTTTATCGCGTCTTTAGGGAAGAAAGGAAGATTAGAATAAGCTCTGCCGATGCCTCTTGGAATTTTTAATAAGCGATATCGACGTTCGCGGATTTCTGTAATAACAGGACACGTAAATCCGATGTTCGAACTCAATTCGAACGTGGAGGAAGGAAAGAGGACAAAAAAAATCTTCGCTCGCAATGTCGACATTAAAATTGCAAAGCGTGCAGACAGGAGGCGTTCGACGCTCAGTTTCTCTTCGATCCTCCCTCTCTCCTCTCATTCTCTCTTAGTCCTTTCCCGACATTACTAGTCGTGATTGTCCCCGGAGATCCCGCTTCGACAAGTAGTACTAAATGAAAAACTCGCCGTTGTGAAAATGCGTTTGCGTTCGCGGATGCGTTATATTAAAATCTGCCATTGTTCGACAATGGCAAGCCGGATGAGCGGGGTAAAGATAGGAAGAGACAGAAAAGAAGTCTCCTCTTTTTTGGTATTCCTTTACGATTCCCTCGGAATCGTTTCTTCCTGTACGTGCCGATTGTACGAGTGAGAAAAAGCGTAATAAAGATAATGCGGACTGATAAGTCGATAAAATCGAAAAGGCTGATAAACCGAACGAACGAGAGTCACCTCACGGAATAAAGTTTCACTTTGAGATTTCTTTAGGAATTGTTTGAAATATATCTAACGCTGGTCCGAAGCGAATTGATTATAATAGCTGAGAGGGATTGTAAATGACTGCTCCAGACTTTCAGTAGAAGTTACTTCCAGCGGAAGGGTATAAGAAGAAGAATGAAAGGAGTTGGAGCAAGAGCAGAATAAGTCCATAATTTGTAAAATCTCCTTTAGATATGTCTTTATATTCCAAGTGGGCGTCATAAATTATGGACTTATTCCGCTTTTTTTTGCTTCCCAAGCTCGCTGTCGAATATAAATCGGCCGATATTATCTGCCCGTAAAGATTCATACCTATAAGTGTATAATTAAACATAGTTAAGCACGCCGAGAAATAAAAAATACGAATATGCAGAAATTATAAATCGTACTGTAAATAACTAAATCCAGCATGAAATACGTGCAAAGCACAGGAACAGAAACGGCAAAAAGTATATTCAGTATATAAAACAAACATGATTAAGTGAAAAAATAGCAATCGTCCTTCGGAAAAATAAATCCAATATTTAACAATCCAAAAGGAGTTTTGCTTTACAAGAAAAGATGTTCTCTACATTAATAAAACCCTCAAAAGACATATTTTCTCAAATGTGAAATTAAGATTTAATTTCTGTATATTTTAAGATGTGTCTGATATTTCCTTTGCTATCCTTTTCAGAAACTGCGATTAACGATTTTTCAGAAAAATCACCGCGCGTCACGAGCGATTTTCCCGAGCGAAGCGAATCTTCGAGTCGTGCAATTAGTTTCGCCCGAAAACTTTTCGTCTCGCTCTCGTCAGGCTTCGTCGAAATTTTGCGGATCGATGGTTCCGACATACCGAGTCCGAAACGAAGAGCCGCGTTAGGTATTTCGGATAGTATCGGCGATCGAAATTTATGGCACGTTCAGAATTGGGCCGCATCGATCTCGCGCGTGATGCCGTCGTATCGGCAACGTTATCGGTATCACGAACGTCTCGACACCGAGAGACACCGAAACTCGAAACGGTGAGATGAGATCGCGTAGAAACAAATCGTCCTCTCGTGTCGCGATATGTGTGGGGATGTGTGTGTGTGTGTGTGTGTGTGTGCGTGCGCGCGCGCGTGTGCGCGTGTGTGCGTGATCGCTGTCATAAACAAATCTCGTCCATGACCACCATCTAATCTCTACCGTTTAATCTCTATCAGGAAACAATGATTACTCTCTGAATTATTATTTATTGATGTTTGTATATATAGTTTATTACACGCAGTTCATTACATTGAGTTCGTCAGTTATTTAATTGCGTTAACCTAAAATTAGCTGAATTTTTTCCTGTCTCTCTCTCTCTCTC